GATGATCAAGTTATAGAAAGACACATACACTAAACAAGATTTGAACACATAAGACACACTCCTAGTGATTGAACACGCTCCAAGAGTCTTCGAGATTTGGATACACTAACAGGTTCTTGAAAAGTTCCCAATACTTATGGCGGTTTAAACACGAACGTACACACACAATTTATGGTATTAACATGCATATCGACTCATCAAGGTTGAATAGACAAACACAATAATGAAAATTGAAACATCTATACACACTTATCAAGATGTTTCGATGCAGGCACACGGACACGCTACTCAATATTTTAACCACATTCTTCACAAACAAGACTGGAAAAAGCACGTAGAGCTTTCAAGATTTGAGAACGCTTACCGATTCTCCAAGATTTGATAACACGTGATGTAATCGTTTCTTATATTTTTATAATTATTAATATATTTTCCATGTTTTTTTTCAAGCATTCTTTATGTCCTGCTGAGAATGGCAATAAATATGTTCATATTTAAAAAATCAAAGAGATTTGATTGCCTGTTAATCAAATATTGAGTAGCTGTAAAGATACTCTTTCAGAGTCACTTTCATATTCTCCATAAGCGAATAATGAGCGGTCGATGGCAATAAATATGGAACTATTAACAAAATCAATGGCACGTGATTGTTAATCAAATATCGATTAGCACAATGATGTTTTAAATAGATAAGTTTAGCTTTATTTTATTTTTTTAATTATTTCATCTCAAGCAAGATAATAAAGCCACAATGACGCATTGAGTATGAGATAAAAAATATTAAGGCGAGAGAAAAATAAAAGAAAACGAATTAAGAAAACAGTAGATAACGATTGATATTACAGTTAAAATTTTGAAGATCAAAGTTGACTGGGAAGCAAGAAGCATGGAGAGAATTCCACGAGCAAGAGGTGTGAGAGAAGAAACTATTAGCATAGAACTTACGGTTACATCTAGTGGCCATTTCAACTGCAATTTGATGAAACCTTACCACCAATCTAATACTGCACTTAAATGCATAAAGTCTATAGAGGAAAGTTCTTCAGAACAATTACCACGAAAATTTTTATTGAAAAGGAACTGTTAAGCTACATTACAGCTTTAGGAAGGGGACTAAAGTTGAGGTGTCATATCTGGATCAATAACATTGCAGATTCTTCTCTGGATTTTATTAAGAATCTCTAAATACATAGTAGAAGCATCAGACCAGCTGTAACAACAACATTAAAAGTAAGGACGAATGATAGAACTTATAAATGTGTAAGAGATTCTGGCAAGAAAAACAGTTCCTAGCAGCAGACCTCGCAATTGATTCAATATAATCTTTCCACATCATTTTAGCGGAAAACCTTAGCCCTAGAAAGCGCAATGAGTTACACTGCTAGAGGTTAGCTTTAGCCATGCTGATGCAAAGCAAAAAAAAAGTTCTCTTAGACAATTAAAAGATAGCGTTAAAATTAACAAGCCATTCCTTGCTCCAGTTAACAACAGATTATAAGTCATTTTTAAATAAGCTGCCAATTTGATCTTATTGAACTGAACAGACTTATTATTAAAACAGGAGTAAATTATTTTATCATCAAAATAGATACCGAGTGAAGGGATGATATCAGGAATGTCGTTAATAAGTTCAAAGATAAAGCCCATGGGGACATCTGCATTAATGCAAAAATATCTAGATGGCCGTTCAAGACCACTTTCATTTCGCAATTTGATAAGAAAGATTAAATCATTTGAAAAATTCGTCCAGAAATACTATAACCTTTCAACTTGTGAACAAGTCCAGCATGCAACTCCTGCCAGACGTCTTCGGGATACCTAAAGCAATAGTCCGATCTTCAGTATTCTTCTAAAGCTTGACAGAATCTTTCAACAATAATCAATACATCACCATTTGACCTGGTGAAGTGAAAGTCATATTGCTTACCTGAAACAATGCCTTGCCATGTGAGATGCTTAACCAACTCATAGTTGATTATGGCTTCTAGTATTTTGTCAAAAAGCGGTAGAAGGCCGATAGTTAGAAAGATCAGATGGTTCACCTGGGTTCTTCAAGAGTGGAAATACGGAAGAGGATCTTTAATAAGCATGAGAGCAAGAGGCAGCGTGATATTTATTGTAGAGTTTCGATAGAACAGGAGTCAGTTCACGAGTAAATTTCTTAAGGAATATTGCTAGGATACCGTTATGTCCATATACTGTGTAGGAATCCAGATTAGAGATGATAGTAGAAACCATGGACTGAGTTCTATGCATATCACTCAATAGAGACCCAGTTCTAAGTCAGTCAAAGATACGCCAGGTGAGTCAAAAGTAGCATATAAAGAGAATTTACGAGTAAATCATTCTGCTTTATCAAACTGAGTGCAGAGATGAGTGATAGAAGACTTTTATTTAACACACAGTTACAGGGCCTCCAATAGTAAGTTGATACGAATACCAAGAATATTGGAGAAAGAAATCTTGAGGGCGTTATGAGTTTTTTGCTACCTGGTTCACTTGTATATGTTTTCCAGCCTGTCATAAGAAGATTATGTTTTACGGGGGAAAAGGCCAAAATAACTAGCAATGCAAACTGTCTAGAATGTAGCTAAGACTTAAAGCACGATGTAGCCTCAGGAAATACGCACAGGAATACCTATCCATGTGAGACATTGCAATGCAAATACCCTGATATTATGTGACTGTTGATCAGCCTCAATAAACGCTGTCAAAGATTTCGGGCTCCTTACTAACAGTGGGATGCAGCAACTAGAAAACTGCCAACCCGGTACCCCTATAATGAAATATTAACCACTGATCAGTCAGATCAGCAAAAAACTAAGACAGTTAAATCATCAAGGCCATGGTAGAAAGGAAGCGGTAAACCATATTCTAAAAAGAAAGTAAGGGATAAACTACTCCTGTTCAATATACATGGAAGGGGTACTGGACGGGCGATAGGCAAACATCTACTTTTATGAATGCAATGTTGTCATGGTGATAGCAGTAAATGGGAAATTAGACTTTTCCGTACAGGAGACATTCAGTTGTTATTGACCAAATAACGTTCTTCTTCTATTTTTATGTGCCGTGTCCCTTCAGGACATAGGCGGTCATGACGCTACACCTCCTCCTGTGCCTTGTAGCTCAATAATTTTTGTCTTTTTGTTATATCTCCCAAACCCTGTTCTGTCGTCCATTTGTTCAAGCATACCAGGTATATTATGCGCTGCTATCCCCTGTTCTTATTTCTCTTAATCTGCCCTGTGAGTATCAGATTTTCCAAGCCCCCCTTCCTAATTACATGCCCCAGAAATTTCAACTGCCTCTTCCTGATGTTTCCTTTTCGTTTCCATTCCATCCAAAACCTAGTTGTTGCTCATATATTCGGTCCATGGTATCCTCAGCATCTTTCTGTAGAATCACATTTCTGTTGCTTCAACTCTCTTCCTCATCGTTGAGGAGATTGTCCATCATTACTGTCATATAGAAAGACAGATATCATATAATAGTTCAATACTTTTTCTTTGTTTCCAACGAAACTTTTCTGTCTCGTAATACTCTGCTTAGCTTTTGGAATGTATTCTTGGCCAACCCAGTACGTTTTTGGTCTCGATGTCGCACTTTCTGTCCACTGTTAGAATACTTCCCAAATATTTAAATCTTTGTACCTGATTGATTTCACTGTCGGCTGAAATTTATAAAATATTTATTCTTAAAATAACTTTTCAGGGAATTAGATTTCACAAGGCCATTTGTCTTTTTAGTATTGATGAGAGTTTCCTTTCAGGCCTTTCGCTTAAGGTAGTGTAGAAAGTTATTTATCTTTCTGGTTACATGTGCTACTCGTTTTCATTGTTGCTGCTGCTGGAATTCTTTAAGTCGTTTGAATTTAGTAAAGTTTTTTGTTTGCAATTTTGTAGCACTGGTCTTTAAGTTCTGATTCACTTAAAGCTACTTTTAATTATTGTTCTGAGAAAACGATTGTATATGAATGATAGTTTAGATATTTTTGAATAAGTTGGATTCCATGCGTAACATTGATATAAGAGTATAGATCTGAAGGGGTTATTTTTCAAGTTTTGTATTCCTTTATTTCCTCATCTTCTTAAACTAAATTTGTCATAACCGATCCATACACCAAGGTATTTGAAATTTTAAGTATTTATTAATTCCACTTTCTGTATTTTTATAATGGATTCAAGGTATTTAGACTTATTCGAATCTCATGTCGTGTCAATGAACTATCAGTTACAATAATATTTTTCAGTGTTACTTTTATACTTTCTATATGTATATAATGTTTTGAGTATATTGGGGGAAAAATCAAATATGACAGCACCATATGTTCGAAGAAAATGACTAATAGCATTTATAGAGCAAGATTTGATCTTCTGTACCATTGGGTGTGATAGTTCAAGTGGCCGTGCAGCTGTTACAGTAAGATAGGCTTCTGGGGAGAAATGAATGTTATTTTGTGTTTATTATTTTTTTATGAAACTTACTATTTATTGTAAGCCCCAGAATGACAGTAAGTTGCGATTAAAATCATCTGAAATTGAAATCTAAAAACTACAAGTCAAAAATTTAAAATGCATCATCTAATAAAATTTTAATACAACTGTAATGACTCCACCATTTTTTATACAATGTACATAAACAAAAAACAAGATGATATCTCGCTCTCTTTTTATCTATGCCATGTTTTACAGGATAATATTCCTGTTAATACTACCAGACTAGTTCTGATAAAAAGTTAATGATATTAAAATGAAAAATATTAATTAAAACTTAATAATAATTAACAATGCCTTATCTAACAACAATTTAAGATAATTTTAATAATAATACTGCTAGAGGAAATAAAGCAAAAAAATAACTAATGTATAATATTAACAATGCTCCATCTAATAAAAATTTAAGACAATACTACTACTAATAATAATAATAGGACGTGTGGAAATAAAGCAAGTGAAATTAAGATAAAAGAAATACTAGACTAATTAAGTGACAATGCTTCATCTAAAAAGAAAATTGATTAAAGAAAGAAAGAAAGAAAGAAAGAAAGAAACAAACAAACAAACAAAGACAGAAAGAAAGAAAGAAAGAAAGAAAGAAAGAAAGAAAGAAAGAAAGAAAGAAAGAAAGAAAGAATTTATATAATCATAACTAATTTCCAAAAAGATGCTTTCTCAATCATTACAATCTAAACCTGTTGAAGTCTAGGATTAACCGTTATCTTTCCCACATATTCCCACACAAACTTTGTCTCTTACTCTTTAACCATCTACCTCGAGTGGCTCCTGATCCTTGTACAGCATGAACATAATAATAAAAAAATATCCCTTGTCTGGTAATTTAAATAACGGTTATCTGCAAATTATTATATTGATATATTTGTGTGTGCATAAAAATGTGTGTATTTATGTTACATACTTTGTGTGGTTTTATGTTTAACTTTCTGATTTTTGTCATTTTGCGTGACTGAGAAAGAGCAAAAGAGAATCCGTTTGTTAATCTGCGCTACTGTGTGTATGAGTGTGTGGGTGTATGAGTGTGTGCGTGTATGTGTGTGTATGTATATCTGAATTTTTAATCTTAAAACATCAGAGAACCATTACCAAAAAACCGAAATGTTTCGTAAGAGCTATAAACGTGAATATGCTTATTTCTACGTATTACTATGCAATCATGAGAACATGTATTCGAGTGTACCTATTGTGGAGGTATTTGGCTGTGTAACTGTAAACCTGTGTCTGTTTGATTGTGCCTATGCTCAACTTGTGTGTGTGTGTGTGTGTGTGTGTGTGTGTGTGTGTGTGTGTGTGTGTGTGTGTGTGTGTGTGTGTGTGTGCGTGTGTGTGTGTGTGTGTGTGTGTTCTAACTCGTAGACATCCGGTAGGTGTGAAATCTATCGAGTAGCACGTGCCCACACATGACATTCCTCTCCTGATAGAGAGAGAGAAAGAGAGAGAGAGAGAGAGATGTCAGTTTGCAATTAAGGCTGTGCTTTTTAATTCGGCATTTAACCAAAAGAAAGAAAGAAAGAAAGAAAGAAAGAAAGAAAGAAAGAAAGAAAGAAAGAAAGAAGCCAAAAAAAGAAAGAAAGAAAGAAAGAGGCCAGAATAAGAAAGAAAGCTAGAAAGATGCTAGAATAAGAAATAAAAAAGAAAGATACTAACTAGAATAAAAAAAGAAAAAAGAGACCAGAATAAGAAAGAAAGGAAGTGTACACTAAAAACAAATAAGAAATACAGAATTAGGTAAAATCAACCAACAATATATATAGTAAAACTAAAAAGTTGAAATGAAGTATTTATTCTCACATAAACTAGGGTGTAATGTGTTAAAAGTCTGTGGTTAAAGGGGGATCACACTTGAGAGACCCACGTAGAATCAAGCTTCAAAAATAGCCCTTTTGGGTACAGCTCAAGCATCAGGTAATGATCCAGTCGCCTCCTGAGGGAAAGACATTAGCTGGGGACACAGGACCCACAGTTGAGCTTTTCGGACCAAAAGATCAACAAAGTAGAAATATGAAAATAAACTCACAGTTCCTTCTATAAAAGAATGTACTTAATTTACTTAATGTACTTAATTAATGTACTATATTTTTACCATGAACGACACATAATTTATCATTTTTTATGTTGCAGTCGTGTATAAACAATACAAACAAAAACTTCTTAAATCCGATGTGCTTACTGCCAGCAAATCGTAAGAACACATTAAAAAAATCATAAAATAAAATAAAACTCTTGGGTTCTACTGGCAGTTTAAGGACTTTATCACATTTTTACCTAGAAAGATAACCCTGTTAGTCTACATAACTGCAACGGGTTCCGTCTTAGTAAAAAGTTAAGATTCCCAATAGTAATTTTCAATGCAAATACTGGCTATTTGCATTGAAACCCAAAAGATTAATGAAACAAAACATTCTTGGACAATTCCCATGCTTCGTTTTCGTAATGTGTTGTACTAAGCTTAATAAATAATCGATAAAGAAAGAATGAAAGAAAAAAGAATAAATTTAAAAAGAAAAACAACAGCACTAGTGACTTATCATGACCTTCTGTAACGTTTAACTTTCTCTCACTACTACCAAATTTCCTCAATTGTAACTAATTTATAAAAGAAAACAACAATGAATGGTTACTGTGAGAAAGTACACTTTGCCTTGACAGTATATCAGATATTTTTATCGGCACCAGGCCAAAATAAGCGAGATGACTGTGTTGCAGCAAATCTTCCAAGAAAATTATCTCAGCATGCCTTGAAAAACTGAAAATTTTACTTTTAACTCGGCTTAAAAATCGACCTCCAGCACTAATGACAAATACATAATTAACTCACCTTTTTTAAAAAAATTGATAACTCGTCAGAAGCCGTTACTTTGCTGACGGTAAGATAATCAAATTTCAAATCTAAATTGTTTATCCATTTAAAATACTACATTTATTAGAAAATATATTCATTTTTAATGCGAAAGGAATCATAAAAATTATTTTAAAATGGCGAAAAATTCATTTCTTGTTACCGAGAGGTTATTACCAAAATACAAAGGGAAATTAACCCCAGCAGCAGAGATGTTCATTTCAAATTTATGCAGATTGCTTAAGTGTATGTACGTTTGCGTGTGCACACGTTGATTTCAATTCAGTGACAAGCGTAAAAATATTTATCCAAAATTAAAAAAAAAAAGCATTTTTAAAATAATTCCATTTTTACAGAATAATTTCCGAAAAGTTCAATAAAATCTCTTTTTTATCTGATTTATTATGATTTAAGAAAATAACTTTTATTTTTGTTTCTAAATTTATGATTTTATTACTTAGCCGGGGGCAAGGTTTGTCCAGACTGGCGGAGGAGGGGAATTATTTCAAACACAGTCAAATTGTGTGTGTGTGTGTGTGTGTGTGTGTGTGTGTGTGTGTGTGTGTGTGTGTGTGTGTGTGTGTTTGTTTGGGTTTTTTAATCGGAATCACCTCACGCAAGGAAGTAAGTCCACTAAAACACAAGGGATTACAGATTGTGGAAATATTAGGAACAGAAACATTAATGATAAGTAGAAAGAGGAGAAAGTAATCACGTGAACAGTAGATAGCGATTGACATTGCATTTACATTTTTTCAGATTAAAGCTGGCTGGAAAACATGGAGCCAGAAGGGAGTTCCACAAGCGTGAAGTGCAAGAGAAGAAACTGTTACCATAGAAATTAGGGCTACATCTAGCCAGCTCAACTGTAAATTGATGAGATCTCGACGCCAATCTAGTAATGCGCTTAAATTCATAAAGTCTAGGTAACATGGCGAAGAGCTCATTCGAACAATTACCATGAAAGTATTTATAGAAAAGACACAGAAAGTCAACTTTACGGCGGCGGGAAAGTGACTGAAGATCAAGACCAATAATATTGCAGATTCTTCTTTGGATCTTATCAAGGATCTCCAGTAAACATAGCAGGGACAGCAGACCATATGTGGCAGCAATACTCTAAGCATAGACTTATAGATATGCAAGATAGATTCTGGAGAGAAAAATTGTCTCGCCCGACAAAATTAACCGACTTTCTTATCAGCTGACCTAGCAGTGGATTCAATATAGTCCTTCCAGTTCATGTCAGCTGAGAACGTGAGCCCGAGAAGGCACAACGAATCACTTTCCTGGAGGATAACATCAGCCATGCTGATCGGAGGCAGAAAGGGGTTTCACAGATGATTAATGGAGAGAAGTTAAAATTAACAAGCTATCTTTTGCCCCAGTTAACTACGTACTTGAGGTTATTTTGGATATCGACTGTCATTTTGAGCTTTTCATATTGATATGCCTATTGAGTCAGGAGTAAATGGTTTTGTTGTCAGCATAGATACCAAGTTGACAGTTGGTGTCAGGAAGGTCATTAATAAAATTAAAAATAGAGTAGGACCAAGGATGAAACCACCAGCATTAATACAAAAGGATGTAGATGAGTGGCCGTTCAACTTGACTCTCATTTCACGATTTGATAGCAAAGACTGGATCAGTTCAAAAAAGTGTCCGTAACTTTTTCACCTTGTGAGAAACCTGAATGTCAGACCCTGTCAAAGGCTTCCAAAATGTTCACTGCAAAGGCTTGTGTATATATTAAATGGGACATACATATGTAAGCCACTCACGCACAACGTAGACATACGCATATACATTACATACGTATAGAGTTTTATTAAGTATGTGACCGTTGCTCATGAGTTTATTCGTTTTATTTCAGATGGTGAGAGGTTTTAAGATTTTCTTAATGTACGTATAAATATCATTTTTAATCATTCTTATGCTCTTATTGTTATTAGAATAGTGGTTGTGTTTAATTGCCACATTCCTGTATTTCTTATTTCTTCTTATTCTCATTATTATTATTATTATTATTATTATTATTTCCTTTGTTTTTTGGTGTATACTCATTCTTTCCGAGTCCCGACACACATAGTTTGCATAGAGAAAGCCCTTCTTAAGGTGTGTGCTATACTTATGAAAACAACTTTTTGTATTTCTTTAAGACATATGCTACCAGGAATCCATTTCTACTGAAATCTTCTCCAAACAATCCGAGAGCTCCATTGTTAATGTTCTCATGGGGAACAATTTTTGAGATTTTGATTTTAAGGTCGTTTTTGATAGTTTTTTGAAGATCTTCAAAGATACATTACAGTCTGCAGAGACTGCAATGTCAATAAGAAGGTACATTTTGTCTTTGCGGTCACGATGTCTGGGCGATTAAATATGATTGTTCCGACTGTTACAGGCCCTATCTCCGTAACCAGATCTGGGTGGTGTTCATACTAATTTCTTGCAGTTTCCTTTCCGTAAATGTTCAGATTTTCCGGTGCAGATATTAGCCCACTCTGTCATGCCGAGTTTCATATTCAGCGGGTGCCAATACCGTGCAACCTGATACAAGATAGTCAGTTGTATCTGGATATTTATCACAGAATCTGCATTTTAGACTAACATAATTTTTCAGTATGTGTGCTTGGTAATTTCTAGCTAGCAAGTATTGGCCCTGTAGAGAAAGAATAAAACCTTTGGTTTTAGCTTTTAACCCTGCCCACTGATGGGTTTGTTTACAGTTTGTTTGGTACGGGCAGAGTATTGACCGTAAAGCGGTTTATCTTGCCATCACTTCTATATCTGGTCGGTTGTTTTTGCCTTTGCTTTCTTTTTTAAGTATTTTGCAGATGCAGTCGTTATATTATGCTTTACTTGCATTTCTTCACCCATTTGAAACTCCATTTTGAATTTGTTGGCTTCCTTTATTACGGAATAATGTTTCTTATTTCTTTTATGTTCTTTGACACAGATCATCATCCAGTCTTCTGTAGTTTCCAGATATCTTTGAAGGCTAATTGTTGTAGTTTTGTAAGACAGTTCTAGTTGAACTAATCCTCTACCTCCTTCGGGAAGATACAGACAGTCTACATCAACCTTGGGTTGATGCATGCGGAGGTAGATGAGAAGCTTTCTTCTTTTGGCGTTCATTCGCTTAGTGCCATCCAATTCAGGGTGTTGAAATTGTATTGCACCACGGAGAGAGCCAAGGTGTTTACGGCTGATATTCTGTTTTTTTTTTTGTTTTTTTAATTCAGCTCGATATTCAGTACCTGATGCACACGTCTGTAGTATTCCTTTCTTACCTTCTCCTTTATTTGGGTATGCTGTATTCCATCTCCTTCACTAATTACTAGATACCTATAGGCTTCTCCTTGTTCCAGTTCCCTAACCTTTGTGATAAAATCTAAATTTATTGAGTAAGTTTCCGTAATTCTCTCTTTCTTAAATGTTACTTTTGCACATTTATCTAATCCGAACTCCATACCTATGTCGTCATTGAAACATTTTACAGTATTGAGGAGACCTTTCAATCCATTGTCGTCTTTGGCAAAGAGTTTGAGATTATCTATCTTTGTATATTTCGAGCGTCTTAAGAATCCAAGAATGTGTCACACTATCAAGGTCTTTACGGTAATCTATCCATGCTGTGCTAAAATATTTACATCTTTTCCTGCAATTTTCCAGGATAAATTTATTTATAACTAGTTGATCTTTGCAACTATATGAACCTCTCCTGAATCCTTTCTGTTCCATTGGAAGAATTTTGTTTGCTT